TTTTGGTAACTCAACTTCTTCTTTTAATGAGCTGGTTCATACTTTGTCACACATAAGAGCTAAACAGCAGGCAAATCCCCAACCATTTTACAGATATTATATAATTGCAATATTTTTGAATGAGAACTTGGCTACAACCCAAACAGTTACAAAAATAACAACAGATTTAAATTAAAAACAGTATATCTCTTGAAATAATCAAGGTAAGTGCATTTCCAATGAACTGCAACGTGACCTAAAGAAAACCATTAATAATTTTGGCTAACCCGAGAAAAATACTTTATTTTGCAGGGGAGCATTGGGACCAATGGAAGAGTTCAGACTTACCTTCTTCCAGAGTGATTGGCTCATCAGGTTTACAAGAGAGGCAGATAAAGTGATGCACCCATTATGCCCAGTATCTACTGTACAAGCCTTTGGAAGCATTTTTATGACCTGGGGTTGTTTATGAGGTCAAGGTTCAGAAAAATCAAGAGCTGAAAGAATGATTGTCTGCATAATGCAGAAGCTCATCAAAACATGAAACTAAAGAAAATAAAACAGAAAGGGGTTTATGCTAATTTGTTAAATTGTTTAGATAGATCTAATACTGGCACAATATTCATAACCCTCTCAGATCAACTCAAATTCTTGCACCTTATTGTCACTGGACAAATGATTCATGGGAATTCAGACCTGCGCTTCCCCCCCCAAGCCCTGCTCTTTGTGCAGTTGTTCACATTCTTGACAATCAGCCAGTTGTGGAAGGAAAACATAAACCACATCCATGAATTACATTGATCCCGAGATTCAGTATGTTCTGCCACGTTGCTTTTGTGGGTCCGATGCATTTGCATAATCTGAGATAACTTTATTTTAGCAGGATTGTGTAATTTATATCTATACCAGCTTAGTGTGAATCATCATGTCCTCATTTTTGCCTAAATGTTGGTCAGCGTGCATCTCTGTCAGTTTAGTTGCTCCTGGTCCATTAAGAGGTACTGGGGGGCATGAACCAGCCAGCTAATCCCACTTTACCCTCCATAGAATATGTGAGGGGTCTGCCTGCTGTCCTTTGTCAGAAAGATATGGAATCCCTCCTCTTGTACCATAAATAACTTATACAATTTGATTCATTTGCATTCAGAGGCATATGTTGCCACTATGAATTGATTATTGATACAACCTGATACCTTCCACTCAATCACAAATGCAGCCATGAACATCACTGTTAATAAAGAGGATGAGGCCTTTGTGCATCAAAGGTATATACATTATATTTTCATATTTATTTCATCAATTCAGATCCAGGATGTGTTATTTAAGTGTTCCCTTTATTTTTTGAGCAGTGTATATATATGAAATCTACTTTCCCTGTGAAATCTATTTTCCCTGCCCTTACCATCCAAATTAATTTTAATTCAAGTCTGATTTGATGAAACCTTCCCCCATATTTTTACTGTGGCTTCTTTATGGCCTACAGGAAATGTTTAAATAATTCTTCTTTTCCTCACAGAGGCTTTCTTTTTTCCACTCTACCATAAAGTTCAGATAGATTGTAGAGCCCACAACCAGTCGTTGTCCTATCAACAGATTCTCCCACCTGAATTGTGGATCTCTGCAGCAGGCCTCTTGGTTGCCTCTGGGAGTAAAATTTTTCTTGCCCCATCAATCAGTTAAATTGGGTGTTAGGTTTGGACTTGAGTCTTACTCTTTCTACTTTGGATAATAGATGGGACATAATTTTCTGTAAAGGGGGTTCTAACCTAACCTAACCTTTGAACATTTCCACAACTTTCTCCCTGACCTGTATGCTGTGTTCCTTGATCTTCATGATTGCTCACTCACGGTGAGTAAATGGACATGATGACCCCTGAAGTCGGTTGGTTGCACTGGATTTTATGTTGGAGGAGTGTCACAAAAGATGGTTAAGAAGGGATGGCCTTGAATTGGTATTCAAATACAGACTATGAATAGTTGATTTGTAAATGAACAGTGTGTAAATGTTCATAACTCTTTACTAAAAAGATATTGTGCAATTAACATTATTAATTGGAAGGGGTTTGTTTACCACAAACTCGTGGTTTACATTGGGTCCTGTTGATCTATGGCTTAGGTAGAAGCATAATCTTTTAACACTTATCTGACAGATTTTCCCCATTGTAGGCTGATTTTTCAATGCATCCAAAATGTATGCTGCTATTACCGTAAATAAAAACTGGATTAACCTATGAGGCTAACCAGTTAAGTATTGGAGTTGACCACCTTACGCAAGTCAGGAGGCAGACTGCAATCACCAAATTGATCTTTTTGATTACGAAAATGTGGAATTAGTCGTGTGTGCTGCATGGTCTCCCCCCTAAGCCACACAAAGGCCTTTACTAAGCAGATCAGCTCAGTGAATCTGTGTCAGGAATCAGGATGCTGTGCTGGGTGTTGATTTATGAGCAGAGAGAGTGAGAATGAAGACACAAAACATGTTTACAGTAAAAGAGGTGGCAGCAAAGCCTTGAAATCTTTTTTTAGCACAATAGTGACACCTGCTGCTCCTTTCTGAGTTACATGTGAACTTTGCCTGGGTGTTTGAACTGATCGTGCTCGGAAGAGCTGCCCTGCAGATGATCTATGATAAAAGAGGATAATACAGGAAAAGAGTTTTTAAATCCAGAGATATTTAAAGACTGTTTCCTGTGTTTGGATTTTACCTTGGACTGAGGAACAGAGTTCTGACTTGCAGCTGTCAGAGGTGAAGCACAGGAGTGAGTTTGCAACATGAGCAGACCAGATGTTGTCCTCCTGCCATGGAGAATACAGTCTATCACTCTCACTGCAGGTGGTGGGAAAAAGAGGGGAGTGGGGAGGCACACAGGAGAAGAGAACGAACGAGTGAGAAACAGGGCAAACAGGAAGCAGAGGCCTTAAAACACAATGCTTTCAGAGTTTCCTGCAGGCTCACACAGATAAGAAGCAGCACTTTGTTTAAAGGGGCATTTTTACCCCCAAACATTTCCCGCTTCAGAAAGCACATCTTGCAAAACTTGCAAAGTGATTCTGCAGAACATTGGTGACATTGTGTGGTGCAAAATGTGGAAGAAAAGAAATGAAAAAAGTAACTTACAACCTTGACTCTGCAGAACAATGCACTAAGCTCAAAGGAGGTGAAATACAGAAGGCAGTATCTGACACGGATTCTGTGTGCTTTCTGATCAAAGGAGAATACCAGCTACTCAATGCAATGTGACAGTTTTCATCTTTAACCTTTCATTCATTGCAATTGCAATGAAGCTCAAAGTATTTTATTAGGATTTATTTGTAATGGAACATAACACAGGACATAATATAGAGGTGGAAGGAACTCTCCAGTTCATTGTATTTGCATAAAAAACAATTAGTTTCATATTTCATACTTGCAACTTCACTAATTTCACTTACAGTGCAGTTATGAGCTTCATAATGTGTAAATGTATGAACTCAGTCACCTTAGGAAAGAGGCAGGATAAACCAAAGCATACAATGTTGCTGCTATAAACAACATCTGATGACAGTGTGACAATGTGTATGCCAATCCAGCTGTGCCCTTTGGCCCTCAGTTCACCTTCATTTGGTGCAGATTGTGTTCCTTGGAAATAGCATCTCATTGGGCCAAAGTGTTTTTTTCCTTTTTGTCTTACTGTGAATTTTAATCTGACTTTACGTCTAAATTAACTTTTCAATTTAGATGTAAATTGGAAAGTTCAATTACAATATTTTGTATACAAGATCTTGCTTTAAAATGTTCCTAAAAAAATGGCAAAAATGCGATTATTTCCACCAGAGAAACCGCTGCTAACCGACATCATGTCACACCGTCAACAGCAGCTCGCCCAGCGGTAGCAGGTCTTTCAGAAACAACGGCCTCAACTGGGGTTGCTGAAGACCGGCCAGCTGGTGAGAGCAGAGGTGTGCTCTCTTCTATCATTTTTTTTCTGTTCAACTGACAGGTTTTCTTCATGTGACTGGAATCCCAACTCGGATCACACCGACAGACTTCTGTAAACAGAAATATGAGTCATTTGCTTATCACCGTGTTCTATTGCATCTGTCAGGATGAGTTTGGCCAGTTTCGCTGTCTCTGCTACCCCCATGTATCTTCTGTTTCGGCCTGGTCACCCTTCCATAGCATCTCTGCAGATCAGAGGCACAAACCCATTTTTCCCATTATTCTGGTGGGAACTCACTCTAACCTGCATCACATCGTGGACATCAGATCTTCACAACAGTGCACCAAGGCTCTTGGCTTCAGGCGAGCCAGGAGCTTTGCAGACAGAATCAAAGCTCAGGACTATGACTGCTCAGCTCTGACACAGTGCAACCTCAAAGCTGTGTTTGGTTCTGTATCTGCTGTCAAGCACAGACATGAAAATACTCAATCTCGAAACATAAGCCGACTTAAACAATTAAAAGCGTTTGTTGGTTGGAGAAAAATATTCAGATTTATTTTTGCATTAGGACAATGTGGAAGTATCTTATTTGTTCAACTTTGTCTCTTGCTGCTGTTTAGATTTATGTTTTGCATATTTCCCTATGATTTTCTCAGTTTTAAAGTCCAGTTGTATTTGGATTGAACTATATGGAAACAACTAACTGTAGGATCAGTATGATTGAGTGCGTTGAGATGATTGATTGTGAAATTGTACTATATAAACAAAGTGAATTGAAAACAGAATTAAAATCCACCATGGTCTCTTCAGATTTTTGTTTAGAAAATGTTAATCATAGAATTTCAATTTCCCTATGGGCTACATAGTTTAGATCTACCACATACAATTTTCATAAAATACATTTAAGTTGGGATTATAATTTAATAAAAGGTGAATTGCTGTATTCACCTTTTAAAAGTGATACTTCTACTCTGTATCTCCAGTTACCCAGAAGACAGTTTGGCACGTAGAACTACGTCTCCCGTCATGCCACAGCACTCTACTTCCGTCTTCACCCCTTTGACTGAAATAATCAGATCAGCTGATCTGACCTAGCAACAACACAACGTAGCTACAGAAACCTGCAAGGGAGGGGGGCTGAAGAACAAAACAATGACACTGCTCGGAAGGATCCAAACACAGTAAGACTTTAAAGGACTTTTAAAAACGTAATTGGGAGGATTTCCCTCCCGGTTTAAAGCCAAACCAGCCGCAGTTACCAGCGGTTCTCTCACCGGCTAAATTTCTATATGCCTCTTCAGTTCAGTTGACAAACAGGAGGCTAGCTACTTGTTTTGGACGGATGAGGAACATTAGCGTTTGCTGCTTGTTTGTGGAGAAAAAAGTTAAAACCACAAATCGCTTAATTAAGCCAGCTGTAAGCCGAACTGAGGCTGAACCATAGAAAATACATTCTATAATTTAGCTTCCTAAGCTCAGTTTGTTTTGCTAGTCATCCTGTTGTTAGCATTGACATTTACACACATATTTATTTCAGAAAAAGCTCCCGTTATTCGCTTGGTACTGTCTGTTCCCTCAGATTTATATGATATTTATTTTTTAGTACCACATTTCTTTAGTTAGGAATTGAAGTTGGAACATCAAAATTGATAAACACATCTGAGGGATGTGTTTATAAAAATAACCCAACGTAATCACCAACTTTTATTTCACTGGCAAGCTAACTTTGTGTTCAGCATATTTGTTAGCATTACTTTTAGCAGCAATATATGACATTATTTAAAATAGCTAAGTCACCTTCAACAATTTTTATAACTTAATCAAGTTAAAAGCAGCCAAACCTGTCAGCATGCAGAATCTTAAGATTATTTATTAATATAGCATCATTTCAGTTCAATATTACTTTGTGTGCATTTCAAATTAATTGTTTTTATTTTTTTGGGAAATAGCTGCTTCTCTCATAAAGTAATAATCCAAATTTAAGATAATCTTGTAATAAACAATGAGTGGGCATGGCTCGTCATCTGAAAAGGGAGTTAATACAAGTCTAACATGTCAAGAGAATTATACCTGTGGTGGCTCTGAAGAGGCAGCATTCGAGTGTGATGACTGCAAAACCCTCCAGTGTGTCAGATGTGAGCTGGAGCTCCATCGTCAGGAGCACCTGAGGAACCACGACCGGGTCCCGGTTGGCCCTGGCCATGTTCCCTACTGTGACAACTGCAAAGGAGGGAATGGGGATGGCAGCAAACGCCTCAGGTCTGTGGTTCGCTGCCAGAATTGCAAGGTGAATCTGTGTCAGGACTGTCAGAAGCGTACCCATAGCGGGAGCAGCAAGAAAAAACACCAGCTCACATCTTACCCTTCACCACCCAAACAAGCTGATGTGAACACTGCCAAGACTTCTGTCCAGAACGCTGATGTGCCTGAGTCACCTGAAAAAACACGGCTTCTGGAGAAAGTGTCAAGCTTTCTCTTAGTTGATGAGAATGAAGAAATGCAGGTGAGATCTTCCTGTTCTTCCACCCATTTTGTTTTAATCACTTGTGCTTTCATTCAAAAAGTTTTTCAGACCGGCTGAACATGTGTTTTGAACAAACCTTACTACTGTTACTGAGGAACAGATCAAATCTCTGAAAACCAATCTAGAAGTTGTCAAAAGGAGTACATTCGGCAGTGTCTTGGCCATGAATCCAAAATTGCCTAATGTTTTTATTTCTTCATCAAACTATTACACAACATTTCACATTACACAAGCAAATTAGAAGTTGCCACTTCTATTTTGCTTTGTTACACAACTCTCCATAGGGGTGAAAAAAAAAAAACTTTTTCACTAAATTGCTTCTGGATCATTCGGAAAAGATTTTTTTGTGGAGGATGTTGTTTTTTTATCCTAGTTTTTTGGCAAAATTTGGAGTGTTCACCTTTTGCAGTCTTTTTCCCCATGTCCCAGCTGTGAGCTGGTTCTCTGCAGTTCAGTCCTGATACTTCTTGCAGTGTTAGAATATTTTTCCTAAAAGTCTTTTGGTAGTAAATTGCTTCTTGATTGCAAACCATGTAAAACCTCCCCACCTGTTTGGTGATACTCCCTTAATAAGCTCTGCACTGCTGGCAGTCAAATCCCTTTGTAGAGTTGTCTTTTGTAAATATTTTTTTTGTGAGGACTTGTCGGTCTTAAATTTTTTGGTTAATGCTGTATACTCTTCGTTGTTCCTCTCCAGATAAAAGATGAATCGTCATTCATGAGATGCCTTGGGTGCAACCCCAACCAGCTGCTGAAGGTGGTATCCATCTTTGGTAACACTGGGGAGGGCAAGTCGCACACCCTGAACCACACCTTCTTCATGGGCAGAGAAGTCTTCAAAACGTCTCCCACACAGGAGTCCTGCACAGTGGGTGTATGGGCAGCATTTGACCCCATCCATAAGATTGTGGTGATCGATACAGAGGGGCTGCTTGGCAACAGCTCCAAACAGGGCCAGAGAACTCGACTTTTACTCAAGGTGCTCGCTGTCTCGGACCTCATCATTTACCGCACTCATGCGGACCGCCTGCATGATGACCTTTTCAAGTTTCTCGGTGATGCCTCTGATGCTTACCTGAAGCATTTCACCAAGGAACTAAAAGCCACGACGGCCCGCTGTGGACTGGATGTTCCTCTGTCCACTCTGGGTCCTGCGGTGGTCATCTTCCATGAAACCGTCCACACCAAGCTCCTGGGTTCAGGTGACACGTCGTCTCTTTCCTTGCAACAAATAATCACTTTGCATTGCACTTTATGTTGTGCAAACAACAAGCCTTAAAATGACGTTAAAACACTCCCTCTGAACAGACAATGCATTCATACATACAGGGAATGGATGGATGGATGTCACATAACAAACTTACAGTATTTAATTAGGAGTTTATGTGAAACACCACATAAACTCCGAATTCACATAATAATTCATTTGGGCTATGAATGGACAAAAATATTACACTGAATATTTTTGTCCATTATATTCGATTTTAGCCTGGACTGTATGTTTTGTCTGATATTACCATGTTTCACCGTGGTGTGTCCAGGGTAATGTGCCATATTGGTTTCCTAGTTTTGTTATTGCTTTGAGAATAAAATAATACACAACATAAATTAGAAGTCCTATTTGTTATTGTTACGTGAAATTATGATATTAGGAAAAGAAAAAAGTCCTGTTTTTGCACACTCAATGATATGAACACAACATTTGTTCAAACACTTTGGTGAATGTCATATTCCGTCTTTGTCGTACTGCAGATAAATCATTGGAGTCTGTGGATCGGCTGCTGTTGGAGCGCTTTAGGAAGCTTTCCCGTTTTCCTGAAGCCTTCAGCTCCTTCCAGTATTGGGGCACGCAGACTCTCAGTCCTCCTACCGATTTCCGGGGCTTGCAGAATAAACTGGAGCAGCTCCTGGATAACAACGCCACACGTTCTCCTCGTACCCCAGGCGTCATCTTCAAAGCCCTGCAGGTAGAGCTGCATGTCTGCTGACATTTCAATAATTAATCTGCTTTAATCTGCCTGGATGTTTAGTAGACCTTGCTGATCTTAATGAATGACACTGAACATAGTTCAGGCTAATTTGTAGTGTGACTGACTCTGTTTTGTTTAGGTTATAATTGAAAGTTTTTTGGGTGTTTTTATCACTGTTTATGCAGGCATTGAGTGAGCGTTTTAATGGAGAAATTGCAGGTGAGGTTGCAGCACACAGCTGTTTCTTTCCTGATGAGTACTTCACCTGTTCCAGCTGTTGCCTCAGTTGTGGGTCAGTACTCTTGCTTTTTTAAAAACAAATGTTGCCCCATTTATTTCTATAATAATAATATAATTTCATTGATCACAGATCTGGCTGCAAGAATAGTATAAACCACTTACAGGAAGGATCGTACCACGAGGCAAAGCAACGCTGCCGTTACTCTGCACAGTATGATAATCGCATTTTCACTTGTAAGGTGAGCATAATTGCTCAACTTTATTTTTTGTTATTCTGTTTACAGAATAACAAAAATAACAGAATACAATGCAAAATAACAGAATACAATGCAAAAAATACACTTTCTTGATTAATGGATTAGACATTACTTGTAATAATATTGTCATCTCAGGCTTGTTATGAAGGAGGGAAGGAAGTGTTGGTTGTCCCAAAGACATCTGCTTCCTCAGACTCCCCCTGGATGGGCCTCGCCAGATACGCCTGGTCTGGGTGAGTAACGGGAAAGTTCACCTGGCAATGTTTATCCAGGCTTTACTCAACATGTTCATTACACTATACAAGACACAGATCATTATCAGATACTCAAGGTGTAATAACCTTAACAGCATTAAGACTAAATATTGAAATACAATTTCATAACATAATCTAGATTTTATTATGAAAAAGAAAATAAAACAACTCTTCTGTAATTGCCATAATTAAATAAATCAGAAATTTTTTCTGTTATATTAAGATATTCCTATAATTTGTAATTATTTGATGCATAAGTTTCAGCAATGCAACAAATAAAAGGATAAAAAAAACACACTTGCCGGTTACTGTAAATCGTAAATTCTTTTAAGGTTCAGAAAAACATTAATACTCATCCATATTGGTGACTTTCAGTTCAGTCCAAAATGAGACACTGTCATTTTATTTATGTATTCATAATATTTAGATAGTGAACATATTTAAACATGTTTATATTTTTCTTTTTTCTATATGTTTAGTTACGTTATTGAATGTCCAAACTGTGGAGTGATCTACCGGAGCCGCCAGTACTGGTATGGCAACCAGGACCCTGTGGACACAGTTGTCCGCACTGAGATCCAGCATATTTGGCCTGGGGTAATAAAAGCAAACTGCTCACATCTTAATTATATCATTAAGTGATATTAATGTTTGAAGTAAAGTTATTATGCAATGAAAATATGTTGTATTTCTTACGACTACATTTTATGACTATAAAATTGCATAATAACTTTACTAAACCTTTAGAATCATTACAGGCACTTTTGCTATCACTCCTGATAACATTTTTCTAAGGCTGCAAAGCTTATGTCAAACTTTATAGATTACTTTTTTATGAAACATATGTTATGGTTAAGTTGCAGAACTATGACAATTGAAACAACATAAACATTTTTACAAAGTGAGAAATAATATGTTTTCCTGATTGAAATGCTCTATTTTGACGAAATCAAGAAAAAAGTGTGTACTTTGGCAAAAATGTGTACAAAAAAACTTGTTTTTTCTTGTACAATTTTTTGTCCTTGTCTTGTAAATTCTTTGCATTATAATACACACCCATTTAAATGAGCCTTTTTGTTACTGTTATATGTAAAAGTTCTACTGCGTTTTGCAGCAAATTAGCAGTTTTAATAACAGTCAGTGTGTCGATCCTGAAAAGCCACAGGTTGAAGACCCTTAACTTATAATTGTTCAAAGAGAAATTTATACTTTTTTTTACTGCTTTCTTAGCCAAATAATATACATGTTTCATGTATGATTACTGCAAGATTAGTGGCTGGGCCAGGATCAGTCTTATGACTGCAAGATCTGGAAAAGCACTGGACTTTTCCATTTCAAATGTCTCTGCCCAACTGATGCAAAAGAGCAGATAAATGAGTTATATATATATATATATATATATATATATATATATATATATATAATTATATATATATATATATATATATATATATATATATATATACATATATATATATGTATATGTAGTCAGGTATATTACCAGACTACATATATATATATATATATGTAGTCAGGTAATATATTGTATTGTATTAAATGTTGGATTTCACAGATATGAAGACTTTTTCAGTTTTAGTTTTTTATAAAATGGGTAAAATCAGCTGAATAAATAGTATTTTTACTCATAGCTTCAGAGATCCTCATTTCACAAAATCCAAACGGTCGCATGACACAGACCTTGAAATATTGTGACATTCAAACTAATTCTTCTGTGGTTTTGCAGTCTGACGGCTTTTTAAAGGACAACAACAATGCTGCACAGCGGCTTCTTGATGGCGTCAATCTAGTGGCCCAGTCGGTATCAGAGCTCGGCGTGAAACCTGCTAAGGTTGTCACCTCTTGGCTGACAGATCAGATCGCCCCGGCCTACTGGAAACCCAACTCCCTCATCATGGTGAGTGACATAGAGTCGCCCTCTGCCACCCGGTATCAGCAGCCAAGTCAACACTTTCATGTCCAGAGGGATGTTTACTCTCTATAGCACTGTGCTCCTGTTGCACAACTTATGCATGCCTGTCATGAAATGAAATGGGGAAATACTGCTGGTTGCAACCTCCTACCTTCATCTATTGATCAATAACAACATGTGCTGTTATTGCATTTCCCTCTGTACAAGATGTGCCACAAGTGTCACGCAGTCTTCCAGGATAACGACACCAAGCATCACTGCCGTGCCTGTGGGGAGGGGTTCTGTGACGGCTGCTCTTCCAAAGCTGCTCCCGTCCCTGAGAGAGGCTGGGGTCTTGCCCCTGTCAGAGTCTGTGACGTCTGCTTTGAGCAGAAAGCTTCATATACAGGTACACCCGCACAGCTTTTAAATGTCATTCCTCTTCCTGTGTATGCTGGTATTTAATCTTTATGTGAGCATGCCTTTTTTTATTCAGGTTTTTCTTCTTTGTGCAGAAATACTTGCGTCAGAGCTTGAGGAGGAAGAAGGTGGAACTCTGGCCAGGAAGGTTGGAGAGGCTGTTACCAACACCATAGGGGTTGTGGCTACTGCTATTGACATCCCACTTGGTAAGTATTGCTCAAAAATCAAATATAGTTGTGTAGGTAACTATGGAAGGTTCAAAATGGGTAGTATATTGCCCTCTTGTGGTTGAGTCTCGTAAAGCTTATTTTGTGGCTAAAAATATCCCAAGATCAAGTTTCTGAGAGTTGTTATGCACAAGTCAGGTCAATTAAACTTAAATAAGTGAGAAATAACACACAAAGATAATTGCTTGCTTAGATAAAACAATGACTTAAAGTAAAATCCTTATCAAACCAGAACTTTCTTTGCTTAAATAAAGTTTCTGGCTATCTTCTACTAATTCTTTGTTAGTAGAAGCATTTCCTCCTCAATAACTTTTTCCACATCCCAGAATAGCTTTCTGAGGCTTTTTTTTTTTGTACTTTAACTTCAGTTTTCACTGCCTCTGTCTGTATAAAAATAGATTACAAATGTGATCATTGCTCGAGCCCCTCCTTCAACATCCCAAATAAATTCAAACTTTTGAGGAAAGTATCTCCTCCCCAAAAACTAACTTAAAATGGCTGAATTGTCATGTGAATCTGTATTATAAAACGAATCTTTAACAAAACTAGTAAAAGGCTAGCTAGCAACAGAGTTGTTTATTGAGCTGAATTGTCAAATTTCATCTGCTGTATTGAACTCATCCATGTTTTATTAATGGGATATATTGTGTAACACTAAAATGACTTATTTGTGTTCTCTTGTGTTCATTGAGTGATATATTGTGACATTCTCTTGCCTGATTTGCTTCTTAAGAAATATGTTGACTGTTTTAATGTGTTGGTTAGGTTATTGTATGCTATCCTGATGTTGAAATGCTTTGATAAATATGTTTTAACAACCTGATATGCTGCTGGAAATGTCTCTGTATCCATGGCCATCCCTAAAATACCTCAGAGCAAATTCTACTCCAATCACAACGAAATTAGAGCACCTACTAACAATTTTTTTTATTTTCATGGTAACAAGAAATAAAATTCTACATCTTCAGAATTGCATCCTAAAGATTAATTCACCTCTTAGTAATGGTCCACTTGACACATTTATGATTGAGAATATGCACAATCAGAGTTTTTGGTACCTGTAGTAAGGTAAAAATTTGTTTGCGATATAAAAAGTGATATGTACTCTGCAGGACTAATTTTCGTAAAGGATATATAATACTTCACTGGTAAAAGGAAGTTTCTCCACTATTTTGACTCAAAGTCATGATGTTCATACATTTTCACATATTGCATCATTACAAGTGCAAACATCAACATGTTTCATTGCAGTCAGCTAAAATCGAATGATTTAGATCAAAGCATACGCATATGTTTGAATGGCTCAGACAAAGGCCAGACCTAAATGAGAATATGTGGCAGGACTTAAAAATGTACACAGACACTTCATATCCAATTTGACTTGAGCTTGAGCCATTGTTGCAAAGAAGAATGAGGGTGCAGACATACCCCATTAACCAAAAGGACTTGCAGATGTAACTGCAGCAAAATGTGGTTCTACAGAGTAGCTTAAGGTCCACTGAATACAAATTTATGCCATGTGTTTTTCCAAATTATTTGTAAAAAAGGATATTTTTCCTTTCACTTTACAATGGATGCACTGACTTGTGTTGGCTTATCACATTAAGTTCCTTTAAAAAATATTGAATTTTGTGATTATAATGTGACAAAATGTGAGACTACTTAATATGCATGAGTACTTTTCCTGGACACTAAGTTTTTCAGCAACTTGTCAGTAGCTCTAATGCTATTTATCATCAGACTGACACAGATTAAACTCCATCTGGATCTCTGATTCTTTTCTCAGCAATATTAGTCTTCACCTTTATACGTGTTAGTGTGTTGTCGATGACTATGTTTTTGTTCCATTTTCTCCTTAGGCCTAGTGAAAGACGCAGCCCGTCCTGCCTATTGGGTGCCTGACCAGGACATCCTGTCATGCCACACCTGCCAGCGCGAATTCACTGCCAAGCTGTCCAAGCACCACTGCCGTGCCTGTGGCCAAGGAGTGTGTGACGAATGCTCCCCACAGCGTCGAACGGTCCCTTCGCGGGGCTGGGATCACCCTGTACGTGTGTGCACCGGCTGCAACCAGAAACCTGGAGAACTTTGATATGGTTGCTTTTCCCTCCTCTTAGCACCGGAGAGAATTGTTCACTCATTGGCAGTCTGTCACTACTCAGGTGTACACCTGCTACTCTAATGGATTGATCTTGCATATATGGAAAGGAAAACATAGGAAATACTTCAATATTTTAGCAAATTTGGATTTAAGAGTTCCTGTGGCCTTTCTAGAACACACAGAACATGGGGTTACTTGACTGATTATGAAACCTGAATTATAGCTTCATATTTTGATCATTATGGACATAAATCCAGAACTTTTCCGTTAAATAAAGCTGTTGAGGTATTTTTCTATTATTAGAAAAAAAAATTAAAAAATGCATTATTTGAAAGACTGATTGTTGAAGATGATGGTTGGTTACTGTGGTTATGACTCCAGCAAAACTTATCTTGACTGGTTGTTTCTGATCTTGGGCGTGTAATGAAAGTGTGATATTTTATATTCGTTTAGGGAAAACTGCAGGTTCCGTTGCATGCATGCATTGCAAGATTTTAGTTTTTGCACTAAGCCTTTTTTCAGCTGTTATAGGCTGTTGTTGCTTAACATGGCCAAAAGTTAGGTATCCAGCAGAGCAAGTATGCAGTTCCAAACTGAGCTAAACTCTGCAACAGTAGTTTCAGATTTGGATTTCTGGTGTGCCAAAATGTATTCAGGTCATTGTGTCTGTGCAAATGTAATGTTTATATTCTATCATGCGATTTGTGGTTGTATGAACTCACTGTGTGAATCTGACTTGTTGAAAATATTTAAATGTTAATTATAAAAAAAAAATGCTTGTAAGCACACTGTCTGGCTTTACAGTCTCAGAGATCAATGGCCTTTTTACTTGTTCAGACAATGAGATCTGAATCAACTTTACCATATCTTTTGCCAAGTGGCATTTTAGAGTTTAGATATTTGCATTTTACGTTAAGATTTTATTTTTGTGTGTATTTCAGTACATGTACTACCTACTCGTATATATGGATCATGGTTTACCAGAGGAAAACAACATCCAGATTTCTCTCCAAACTAGTTTTTCATTATTCAGTAACCAAACTGAACATTGGCACAGTACCTTGAAAAAGTATTTATACCCACTCTATTAATCAAATCAGAAACTTTAATGTATTTAATTAGGATTTTAGGTCCTACAGCGACACAAAGTAGTGCATAATTGTGAAGTGGAAGGACAAGGAAACACAATTTTTGATATATTTTACATTTGACCATCTGAAAATTGTACTGTGGACGTTGACTGCAAAATTAACAAATTAATACACTTTGATGTAGTCCATTTTACTTCTTCTGCGTGGCTGTTTAGAGTTGCAACCGTCTTGGAAGGTAAACCTCTGCTGTAGTTTCAAGTCTTTTGCAGGCTCTAACAGGTTTTCTCCCCAGGGTTGCTCTTTATTTACCTCCATCCATCAACCAATCATCTCTGACCAGCTTCCCTCTCCATGATTAATAAAAACATCCCCACAGTTTTCCCTCCTCACAGCAATTGTACCACACTCTTTTAATCTTTTGATGATAAATGTAACTGATAAGTGGGAATATTTAATGGGTATCAGTACTTTTGCAAGGCAATGTGTGAGATGAGGATTATTGCAGCTTTTAACTCTTTGCATTTACATAAGCTGTTATGAAAGGGTTTTTTTGTTTGTTTTTTTTTGTCCATCCTCATGGTATTTTTTTTTCCATATTACTGTACATGTATATTTATATTTCTTGTGTTAGAAACTAAGCCAACTGGTCTTTATTTGTTTTTATTTTATGTTTTAGCCTGAGACTGGCATAATGATATTCAGATCTAGCTGTTCTGACACTTTGTCTTGCATGACATAACAGAGTTTTAACCTGGCTTGCACCATTGTTAGTTTTATTGAGTGACCAGCCTGTTATACAGTGATGACGTGGAAAGCACAAAGGGGGGATGCATTTGTTGTTTAAAACAACAAAATATAAAGAAATATAGATCTTTGTGGATAGTTATAATTTTTTTCTCTGATCAATGTTACCAGGCTGCCTGGTCTCAAACAGATTTATTTGCTTGAATGTTCAATCAAACACTCCCCGAGCAGTCTTGCGCATAAAAGAATACAAAATGTTGTAATCCTGTCTATTCATATATCATTTGTCATTACTTTTTTTTAACACTTAACAGTTCTCATTTACAAACAAGGAGGAATGAGTGATTTTCTTTAAACTGTTTGAATCTGACTTGAAGAAGGCTGGTGGGGGAGTTGCAAAGGATTAAAGCTGTGTCAGCACCCGTCTGTCAAAACATAATCTGGAGCTGCTTCCATGTTTTTTAGTGTAAGTGTGTGTGTTTTATATCTATTCACGTACTGTATGTGGGAGGAAAAGATTGTGTGCACTCCATTCCTGTCAAACACTTCAACCACAGAAATAGTGAGTGTGAAAAGATTTAGCGTGCTTATTAAATATTCTAAATTATTTATGCTTATTTTAAGAAAGAAATATTTTATTTCCATATTAACATTTATTGCCATTTAAAATGTGCTATGTTATTACACCAAAAATTCCACAGTCAGCTTTCGGGGATACAGTGATGGTCTCTTTAAAAGTGTTGAAATTCAATTGTGTACAATATGAATACAAGGGAAAACCCTTTAAAATAATTTTGACAGTTTACCCCTATGAAGCCACGCCCCATCCGCTCCCGCATGCCGTGGATTGGTCCACGAATTCGCCTCGCGTTCCGATTGGTCAGTTGCCCTAGGTTTCCCTCAGAACTGCAAGACGCCGATATTGCGTTACATTGTAGCAAAATGGCGGCTGTCATTCAGAATCCACTGAAAGCGTAAGTAATTTAGACATTTATAAAATTCTGAATAATTACTTTGCTGCCAACTCAGTACATTGGTGATTTCCTTTCGTGTGCGTCATTTCCAGCCGTCTGTGTAAGGCAGGCGAAGCTGTCCGAATATATTTTCAATACTTCTTTCATGTCAAAGTAGCCCTCTGCTGTTCTTTTATTTTGCCGAATTTCAACATTTGGACTCTCACATGAGCACACAGCTCCTTGACATTATCTGAGCACTGAAGGGGGCTTCTCCCCTGCTCGCTTCGGGCAGAGTGTCGCCTCTCCTGTGCTGTACATTTATTTGAAAACTGTCGACAACGTGCCGATTCGCCGCAGCGAATGATTAAAAGCCGATTTCCCTTCGAGCTGGCTCGGGCACAGGGAGCAGCGGAATATCTCCTGGCATTTCCAAAGTCCGTTATAGTTGTGGGAATTGTCGACATGTCAACTTTGGCTCCATAGAGCGCAGACGTGGTCAAGACCCGGTCAAAGCAAAGCAAGCAGGCAGACGGGCGAGAAAGGGAGGAGGCATTTTGTATGTGCAAGCAAGACATGCGAATTTACAAAAAAGTGACAGCAATTTTAGTTTGAAATTGAATGATTAAACAATGTATGCAAAAGTAATTTTAATCCATGAATTTCAAGGAAATATCCAATCTTTCCCCCCATTTATCCTTTGTTCTGTTGTACTGTTTCTCTAATGTTAACACTGTGGAATAACTGACTTAGCCTCCTGCTTCCTGTCATTTTAAAGTAAAATTGCATTATAATTTAGTAAAGCTTCTAATGCATGATCGGTTCAGCTGTACGTGACAGCAGCAGTCAGGCTGGCTTTATTGATGTCTCCTAATGATCCTGGCTCAGTGGGGACTGAGGAGGTAGAGCTGTAGTTCCACTGTGCCTTTAAGTGGAGGAGTGCTGGAGATTAGGCTGGTCCAGGATCCTGGGCCCATCTGTCAGAGAGATGCTCCAACTGGGAGGAAGTGCTGGGTTGAAGCAGAAGAACCATCTGCTCCTCCGCAGAGGCACCGTGCAACCTCTGTGGAGTGGAAGTGGAGGATCAAGGTGCAGATTCCTGGACCAGTTGTCACGCAACAGGCTTCTGGGTCGCCTCAGTCTAACCGAGGAACCAAACGTAGAAAAAATTACCACAAAGCAACCAGAAACCCTGCAGAGAAATATAATTTGTGCTCAAATTGTGTCTTGCAGATTGGTTCCAATCATGTCATACCACTTTTGCTTCTTTGTCTTTACTTTTCTATGTTAACTCGTGTTTGCATTTTACTCCATTTATTATGCATATATTTGTAGTGATACACCAATCATAAGATCTGAATTTGACCAATTTTGACAAAAAACAAACAGAATTTCTAATTTCCTATTCACTGAATCCATAAAAACTAAGAACTCCCTTAATTTTTGGTGAGTGAGTTCATCAACCAACAATTTTTGTGTTGTTGCACTTTTTGTACTTTAATAATGATCAGATATATTTGAAATACTAATACTTTGATGCATAAATGGGGACAGTTATTCCTTCATCTTCTGTTTGATCCAAAACCACTACATCTATCATCAACCCCTATAAGATGATCCTTTTGGTACGTGATTTCTGAGCTTATTATGCCTCACAATCCACTAAAAGGCCTTGATGCAGATTGAGGCGGGGGTTGAATTTGACCCACCAATACTGCGCTCTTGTAGGTAGTCATAAACCTGTAACCACTATGAACAGTAAAGGGATTGTAGTGCAGACTAAAGCAATATGAAGCTGCAGGTGCGCGTAGAACTTTCTCATGTCATGTCTGATCGGAGGAATATATTAATCACCAGAATCTGATGGAGGTGGCGCATGCTTAAGATGGCGCCCAACAGCTTTGTTTGTATTTAAAGCATTGAATGCATCTGGACAGCCTGCCTGCATGAGACTATTTGACACAGAGGTCAGTGCTGTGGGATTTTCCCACATAGGTTTTAAGCAGATGAATTCTCTGAGTTGTAGGCCATGCTGAGTTCTGCAACCTCAGTTGCGAGAACTGACACGGCCTGTATTCTCATAAAATGGTGTTGTGGGATGTGATAGGTCAAATAACTAGCCTATTTTTGCTCTTTCGTGTGTTACTCTTATGAAAAAAAATCATAATGATAATGTTAGCAATTAGCATGGCTACCATTACGAAAACTCAGCAGAACTCAAAATTTGGGGTCCTTACTTTAACTGGAAATCCAACCATTTGAGCCTTTTTGTTATCTGTCTCTCACTCTCCTGCAGCCTGAATGAACCACAGGCATCTCAGTGTCCCGTTTTTACATATCTGTACTTTATTTGACTTCCTTGTAAATACCTCACTGACACTAAAACATGTTCTTCATTAAATTACACACAAACTGTTTTTGTCAACACTATGTCTTAGCACTTGGGTATAGTGTGTTTGCCAATTGAGAAAAGTGCAGCCAGCGAATCAAAACAAAATCATCTGCTTCTGGTCACATGACAGTTTCCTTTTGCATTTCTAGTTTTCTGGTTATTCATTGATGAATAAGTCCATAATGTTGCACATTGCTGCTGGTTTGAGAGCTGTGCTGCTCTCAAGCCTTAATAAACCTGTTCATTATGGAGAATATGTAAATTAGAAACTGACAAAAGTATTAACTTTGTTCCTTTATCCAACTGAACTGCATTTAAAATCTTTAAAATGACACATAGATTAAATAAAATAAGCATCTTATTAACCTTTTCAAATACTTTTGATTTGTTTGTTTTTTTTTCCTTGTGGAAAATTTGGAAATGGCCAGGTTAAAAAAATGACTTGAGAAATGTTTATATTTCCTTTGAATTAGCTTTTCTAACTACTGACCTGCTAACTCTTAACATAATGGGGTCACTGACCAGGGAAAAGATTCTTTATTAAGTGTCTGGTATGGCCCATTCAAGCTGAAAATTTAATGTTTATGATCACCAGGAATTACCTTGTATATCTACAATTTGCATGTTTTCATATAACCATGGCTGTTTTACAGTCCTTGTAGTTAAATGTTGGTCACTTTAGAATCAAGTAAAAGTAAAAAAATATATATATTAGTATGGAGGTTGGACATGCATTAAGTAAAAAAAAAAATTCTAACTATTAGCAAAACATAAATAATATGGCAGCACTATGGGGACTGTTTCAGATGTTTTACTTTTTGTCCAATTTTGGCTTTTTCTACTATTTGTTTTTATCTCCATGTCTTTATATCTTGAATAATTTCCAGAGAAATCAATCTACAGTTTTGGGCCTGGTCGTGCTTTTCTCCTACATGTGGTTTTCCATGTGGAGGTAATTGACTCCCTAGCTACAAAAAAGCTCATTTTAAATTCCCAGAGTAATTCCTAAAATGTTGCAGAACACTCACAGAGGCCTGCAGGGAGATAACTACCCACCTTTATCCCTGGAAGAACTGCTAAATAGAAAAAATTTAAACTTTCCATCTGTGCCTTGTTTCAGTTTTGCCAACGAGGGAATTACCAAGGAAAATTACGTCTTCCACTAAAACGCTTTTACACAATTCAGCAGTGTTTGTCCTGAGATTTTTAATTTCTTTTTCATCAGAAAGTGTTTCTTGTTATTTTGCTGGACTGTTTCACTCTTATATCCCAACAGACTTCTTCATGTGTCTGCAGTGGAGCTGCTGTTTTCATCTCAGAGCAGTTTTAGCATTCTGATGTGGAATGTCTCCTTGCTATAAGCTGTGCTTAATGAAGTGTTTCAATCTGCTATAATTAGCCTCTGTCTTGGGTTTCTGACTTCATTTCACACGTTTGTCAGATTATAATTAGTCACACTTGACACTAATTGGGTGTCAGTCCTGTGGAACAGTTTGACCTTTTTTGTATTAAGAAGATTCACTTTGGGGAAATAAAATGTTGGTTTGACTTTTTTCCTAAGGATGAGGCTGTTGAAGCGTAGGAGCCTAACTTGCATGATTGTGTGAGGTTTGTGAACAGGACGTTGGCAATCTCCAAAATCTGCTGATTAAAATTGAGTCTGGGATATTTAATTAGTAAAATTGCTCATTAAAATTTGAGCCACAGCTGGAGCTTTCCGCCGGCTGGACTAATCTTTCATCCACAGCAATCCTGAAACGACATCGGCCCGTTTGCAGACTTCCTCGTCAACAGGGTTGAGTTGAATTTGAGTGAGTCAGGCCTGCTGTTTATTTGCTGAGCGATTGTGGAGGTGTTCTGTCTGGTTTTGCTCCTGCCCTCACTCAGACTGCGCTGTTCGGATTGGTGTAATCAGAGGTTGTTGTCAGGATGTAGTCACTCTGTACAAGCCCTCCCCCTCACTTGACATGTGGTGGTTCTGGCTTCCTGTGAAGCAGCAGTGCACCTGCAAATTTAGGAAACTCTCTAAAAGAGAATTTGCAAGATGCTAGTTTTGATTTTCTCTCTTTTTCTATAATGTGCAACTCAACTCTCTTGGGTACATTTTAAAGTAGACACTGGAGCTTTCACAAGTCAGATCCTTCCTGGGAGCTGCAGTGCCAGATATGCAAAATGTGTGTTGACACATGCTCGCATTACGGATGCACCCATGTGGCACGGCGAACCGTTGACAGAAACAAGCTGATAGTGGAGGCCCCATCGGCCACAAGATTTGCTTTTACTCCATCTCGCCCTCATTCTACTCATACTCACCTTGTCCACTCAGCTGGAAGATGGTGAGGATGTAAAGCACATTTTCCAGACATGTTCTCTGGTTCTTCTAACATCACCACTTGGCTGCCAAACAAAAGGCAAGTACAAGTTTTAGGAAAATATGACTCAGATTTCCAAACAATGAAGAGTAGTGGATTTTTTGACACAAAATAGTCATTTAAAAGCTGTAGTTTTAGATGTACAATTTAAAATGTGTTAGGTAAGAAAACATGTGGCAGAAGCTGGCAGTTTAGCCACTTTATGTAAACCAATCTATGAAAACTGGATTTTTTTTTTTTTTTAAAAATTAGAATTGTTGGACTGATAAACCAAGTTATTGGTTATTGTTACGTAGATTAACCCTGGAGTTTCAACTGTGTGTCACTGATAGTTTTACATTCCTTAAAATGGCATTTGACAAGAGGTTGCTATATTTAGACAAGAAGTTGTAGCTGAAGAGTGAAATCTGAAAGCTGCTGGTCTAAAATATGCATATCTGAGACACATTTTTTAAATTAAATTATGGTCTTGGTTATGCAAAAGAAAACTGAGTGCTAGAGATCCACCGAGAAATCTAGTTGAACATGTTGTACCTCGTACAGAAACATAAGACGCTGCTTAGAAATAAACTGTATGGTCTACAACATGTCGACACGCCTGTGGTTTATTTAGACCATAAAGAGTAAGACCTTAAGCAGATGGAAAATGTAGTACAGCCTTCGCATTTGCAAACAAACCAATATGTTAACTGGCACAACGATAATTGAGTTGCAAGTTTTTTTTATTGTATTTTTTGCAGTATTTCACAGACTCACACGTAAGCTCCTCCTTTCTGCTACACCGGGTGAGACGGAGAACGGGCTCAAGGGAAAAAGCACAGCTGATTGCAAGTGTAGTGCTCATTTGATATGCATTACCTCAGCAGACCTACCCACACTGCCTTCAATTGAGTGCCGAGTACACAGCAGTCTAACAGGAACACGGAGAATACGTCAATGAAGATGACCAATCTAAGTCAAAGAGAATGCGCAGCTTCTGGATTCATTTTCTTAAGACAAAAACTGTAAAGCATGCTGTAATATGTGTCATAAGAAATTTACTGAAGTCTAGGTAAACAAATAATTTGTTTCACCACTTAAAAACCCGATCCTACCCTGTGCTTCTTTTCAGGAATTCCCTTTGATAAAACAGTTTCCTAAAAATTTATCCATAGAAAAAATAAGCAGTCTTTTCAACAATGTTTTCAAAAAGCCATAAATCCCATTTCTATTTAAAAGTTTAAGCATTCATTTTCCAAAGTTTTCACATTAGAAAAGACTGGAAGGTAGGAATTTGCCCCAATTTGTCTGCCTTTGACTTTCACTATGTTTTATGTGTGCAAAAACCTTATTGAGTACTAAACTCAGGGCTGCTCAGTCATTTCTGACTTTCCTAACCTCTCAGTATAAATACATTGTGCCATTATTCTTTTAGGCTTGTTGAAATTTTATTCTACACCTAGCGTTTTATTTGTCCAGCTTGTTGCTTCCCTTTTGTGATCTTGGCACTCACATCTGCACTTTTGTGAAAGCTGAATTAGTCTGTAACTGATGTTTTTGTTGGTTTGTAAACTTTGCAGCAGTTAGAAAATCTCCGAAAAGTTGCAGAACAGAAACAAATGTCTGAGAACGGAATAAAAGCAACATATGCTGTCTGGAGTTGGTGTGGGTCTCTTTCATCTCCTGTGTCGTTGGACATGTAGGTCTTGTCACTCATTACAGGTGTCAGAAAGATCTCTCACCTTAGTTGGTGTGCCTGCTGCTTGAAGTGGCAGGCCTCTGATGGAAGACATCTCATTGCACAGACAGCCGTCTTCCACTTTTTCATCTGTCCTTTTGCTACTCATCCAACACTCTCTAAACTTCTGTGCCAATTACCTGAGCAATCTGAAGTTTTTTGACGTAGACTTCAGCAAAGCTTATGTCTGATACCACCTGTGTGCCGACGTTAGTTAGTAAAGCACATGGCCGATGATCAATCGGCCACGTGTCCCTGTATCCACTCTGGTATCAGGGAACATATGGTACATTTTGACAGTTCATGTATTTTATGAGACTGCTGCATGGTTTTAATTAGGGGTGCACAATAAATCTGCCAGGGTTTCCTCAATTTTAGGCGGTTGGGTGATACATGTGAAGTCAATCTTCTGCAGTATTCATACCTACCTATGCAAAGGTCTACAAATCAGCCACTGTGGTCTTTGATGACAGAGAGGAACAACTAGCAGACCTGTCCACCGTGTCATGTCTGCATGTGTGTAGCTACCAACTTGTAACGTTCACACTTTTCAGTCAAAAATAAATGGTATTGGCCTACATTTGCATTGGTAGATCAGACTTTTTAAAGATTGATGACCGGCCAGAAAACTGGAATTTGTTCACCTCTAGCATTAATTTTTGTGTATGTGTGTGTTATTTAATTTAAATGTTTTGTATCATCAATCAGATTTTAATCTCAAACAAAATTAACATGAGTAATTACAAATAAGGACATAGCTTATTCACATGGGGCTACCTCAAAAGCTACTTAAAGGATTATCTCAGATTTTCTAAAAACATACTTATGAAGACTTTTGTGAAGATATATCATAAAACGGTGAGACAAAAGTTGGACATTGGATTTATGGAGCTAGAAATTTTGACCAAGCTGAAAATCCCTTTACAGCAATCATGTGTGAATTTCAGCTCAAGCGCAGTTGGCTTATGCATCATCGATCCACAACACACCAGCAAGGCCACAGCTAAATATTTAAACAAAATTCCTTCACGGTGATGTAAAATCTTCTCTGTCAGTTATCACAAACGCTGTGTGATGGATGTTGCTGCAAAGGGTTGCACAACCAGTACATAGGTTTGGGGGACACTTTTTTGCAAAATCAAAACAAGATAACGTTTGTAAAATTATAAGACTCTTTGCTATATTTTATAGTTTTATATTTCCATTCTGGAGGAAGAAAGTTCACATCCCCTAGTTGTTCTTGTGAAATTTACATCCAGATGTTAACAAAAGAGTAAAACACAGGACTTACTTTTTGGAGCTCTACTTTTAGGCAACACATGGTACAAATTTGATTGTTCAGACATTTTATGGCTAGCTAGGTGGTGGTAATTTTTATGAGTCAAATATTTGTCTGAAGTCAGTGACGAAGATACTTAATAAGTCTGAGCTCATAATAAACCACTCTAGTTTGTAAGTGTGAAATGAAAAGAAAAAGTGGTTTTATGTGGAAAAAAATGTTACAGTCTTTAAGTAGATTTAAATATCTAGATTAGATCAGAACATGGAGAAATGAATACAGTACTGTGTGTATTTGTCTTGACCTGCCTACTTGCTGTTTTGCACTCCTTTTTCTTCATCTTTCATTTTCACGCCTCTTCACCTTCGCCTGTGATTCCTGCTGTACCTGAGACTGCTCCCTCTCTCCTGTAACTCAAACACACACAGCTTTGTTTCTCCTCCAGAGTTTTGAGTTTCTAAGGACTAGCATCCATAATGTGGCTGTCCTTCTGCTGGATGTTTTCCTTTTCAAGATCAAAGCATGGAGGATGCAGAAAAGTCGCCCTTCCAGCTTCTTCGTCTCAGCTTTAAAGTTGCACTATGACTCACAACCAACAGCTCATTAGTTTCACTTCAAAATGGCTGCCTTGCTAATTGAAAACACATGGAGGATATTCCAGAATAAACACTTGCTCTGATTTGCCTTTTTTGGGCCCTGTAATTGAACAACAAACTGTTAAAAGGTGCACAAATCATCTTGTCACAGGAGTTGCTGCCTTTTTCCCATATTTTCTTGTGTAAATCAGAAGCTGCCCTTGTGCAAGGAATTCTGCTGAGATTAATTAAGTAGGCTAATTACCATACCAGGCGTGTGGCAGAGATTGAGGGCTTGCATGTGAAATAGCCACCCCCATTTCTCTCTGAATATTAACACTGAAACCCTGAGGGACTGCCAAAATCTCAGTGGCACCAAGAAAAGTGGAGCTAAACTGCGACAGTCTTAGTTGCTTGTCGGTCAAAGGAGTGACTTCACATCAACCTCCAGAGTCTTTGTTTTAGTGATGAGCTTCACACACAGTCAGGAGCAGCATAGCTCAGTCCACGGAGGTAATAATGTGTTGAACAGTGGGAACAGTGGGAGCAGCAGCGTTGTCGAACAGTCATAAGTGGGTTGCATTGCTTTTTTTGCGGGGAGGTTTGTCCATAATTTCTCCCTGATGATAGACTGGAAGATGAGTGGTTTGAACAGATGTGTACAGAAATTTCTTTGTTGATAATGTCAGTGAGATTCTAAATTTAAAATACTGTGGTAGGTCATTCTATAAGTTTTTGTTGTAAATTTCTATGCTGCCGAAAATTTAAGATGGAAAAATACTTTTTTGAAAAATGTCTTAAAAAATTTATTTCACAGAAACAGCAGAAACCCAGCACACCATAACCAAAAAAATCTCCGCAGCAGAATGCCAGCTGTGCTTACACATTGAAATTATTGTTATCCTGTAAAGTGATTGCTTGTTTGTGTTCTGCATGTGAGCCCATTGTCAGTGGTCTTTACCTCTGCTGCTGTTGTTCCCTGCTGAAGGCTGGGCGACCAGTTCTATAAGGACGCCATTGAGCAGTGCCGCAGCTACAATGCCCGCCTGTGTGCTGAACGCAGCGTCCGCCTGCCGTTCCTGGACTCTCAGACTGGCGTGGCCCAAAACAACTGCTACATCTGGATGGAGCGCCACCACCGAAGCCCTGGTAGGATGACACACACCCCCCACTCACACACACAAAAAGAGGCACAGAATTCACACAGCGATGTACTCCCTGTTCTGGGTCAGGCTGCACTTTTATACTCAGGAGGTTGCTGTTCACAGCAGTGAATAAAATGTATGAGACTTGTTGCAGACTACACGCTGAAATTTTTTCTGATGATCCGTAATAATCTCTCTGACTCACTGTGAGAAACCTGCTATTTGCTCTCTAAGCAACAGCCCATTATACACAAATCTCAGCTTGTACTGACTATCATCATAATTGTATTTATTAACGAATTTGTCCAGGCAATGTATGACTACAACCTCATCCTGTAGAGATCATATAGGCTGATTTTCTTTTTTTCTTCTAACAGAATTTCAAAATTGTAAATCATAATTAAAGACTTTTAAGAAGTCTTTGAACTACTTTCAAGAAGTTCAAAGACTTCTTGTAAGAGAGAAAGAAGTCTTTAAACAGGTTTTAAGAGACTAATTTGTGGTAAAGCTCAAAACACGCAATACTGCTGGTGAATGTTGCAGTGGTGATATGACTTGCAATAAACAATAATAAACAGACATATGAAAACAGTGTTAACTTCTCTTTGCTTTGCAAACATGCAGGTAGTCCAGATAGTCGGCAGTCGAACCAGATTTTCTAAGCAGAATAATTGAAAATATTCCATCAGGTGCTGTTTTGGCAACAAAACTTAGTTGAAGTTTCTTAATAACAATAGCACATCTTATGTGCTTGAAAACATTTTCTGCTACATCAAGCAAGGATTGAAAAATATGCTTGCTTGCTGTAGCAAGCATACTTATATTTGTATTTATATAATATATAAGTATACTTATATAATATGCTAATATTTAATGCAATTTAAGCAGTTCTTTGCTCTGTTCATATTCCATACAGTGATCTTGGGGTGAGTGCTGGAGAACTGCAGTTACCAGCATTAAAGATATTTCTTATTATGTTTCTTCATTTTTAATGGAAGCAGATGTGATGATTTGAAAGTAGTTGCTGTAAAACATACTTTTACTGTTGCATTGAAACTAAGAAAAAAAAAATTCTGAGGTGACATTTTAAAGAGCCTTCAGCACAGTTAGGATTGGTATTGTTAAAAAGCAGCCTGCATGT